GCCTAATGATTGGCGTTCCATCTCCCCGCAGTGTACGACGTGTCCGGGGCGGCCAGTGACCGGAACTGTGTGGTGCTGAGTGACATTCACATCGATATCATGGATTACATCCAGCCAGCTGGCTGCACAGACACAGAGTTCAGGCAGATGTGGGCCGAGTTCGAGTGGGAGAACAAGGTGAGTGTGCGGCTTCCTCTGCTCACCACCCGGGGGCGCCATTCACAGACGCGCAGATCGGCGTCCGTGTCCGCCGCATCCACTGCCTTGGAGGATGTAGATGAGGGATGGGCTCGGACCTGGTGCCGGCTGTTAGGAGCGCCGGGTGACGTCGCTCTCCTGCCGCAGGGGAACTCCCGGGTGCCATCGCCGAGGGATCGCCCCCGTCTATTGTGGCTTCTGCTTCGGTATTCTATACATGAAGGTCCTTCTGACGATCACCATGTTCCTTGTCCACCGGAGTATGAATGAGCCTGGCAATTGCTCCTCCCCGCTCCCATGTGACAGTGCTGGTGTCCTGTGATTGGCCCAGGGGCGTCGTATGGGGTTTGGGTAGCAGTCAATACTCCTGTGTTCTGAGAAGCCACCCCGGAGCTTATACAGGACCTTCTGACTGAGCGCTCCATGGTGGGAGGGACCTGGGAATGTCAGGTCGTTGGTGGGAGGGGTCTGGGTGTGTCGGAGGACTCGGTTCCGTTTCCTCCAATCACAGGCTCTGTCCGGGTCATGCGGCTTCATGGCGGCCAATCTTTACGCCCGCTCCATATTCGGCGAGGACGCCCTCGCCAACGTCAGCATCGAGAAGCCAATCCACCTGGGACCCGACGCCGCAGTTACCGGTCACATACGGATCAGATAAAATGTTTTACATTAAAATCGGAACTTCCCGTTGTCCACAAATGTAACAAGTCGTCTCCGGTGCTGACCCGGTTCCTGCAGTCGCTGCCATCTCCACAAATCAACACTTTAAAGCTGCAGCAGCTGCATTGTATCCCTGATCAGTGCTGTCATTGCTCCGCCTCCTACAGCTATTGGCTGTTGTGACCTTTAGGCGCGTGCCGCCGTTCCCGTGCATCATATGAATCCCCGGCATCCCTTTAGACCAGGGGTAGCCGAACTGCGGCCCTCCAGCTGTGCGGTGGAACTACAAATCCCACGAGGCATTGCAAGATTCTCACAGCCACGACTCCCGGAGAGAGATGCATCATGGGACTTGTAGTTTCACCCCCACAGCTGGAGGGCCGGAGTTTGGCTACCCCTGCTTTAGACCTCCACGCTTCTTCTTAGCTGTGCGACCTGCTGATCAGTCGCTTGGTCGCAGCCTATCGGAACGTCGCCAAGCAACTGAACAGCAGATCGCACAGCTGAAGTCTGCAGCACCCGGTGACCAGCGCGTTCTTTCATATGATGGTCTTGTGACCAGATACCCCGAGGGGGAAGGGCTGCCATATCCACAGGAGTCTTCCGGCCCCTCCCACCAAAAGTTTGTAACCAAAACTTTGTAACTTTGGTTACAAAGTTTTTTTATTTGGATGTTGGTTGGGGGTGGGGGGGAGGGGAACGAGGGAAGGTTATTATATGTATATTATTACAGGAAGTGTG